TGTATTGTTGAAGTCGTACTCTTTTCCTCTGATCGGGATTAGAGAGGCTTTTAATGAGGATCGCAATTCGGATTAAATGCTTTTATGTTTAGATGAACAAAGTCATATTTTCCGAGAAAAAAAAATCAGATATTGGTTTTAAAAACTTATTTCTGTTCATGGGGTAAACAAGGATAGGTCCGGTGGTGAGATTTCCTGGAAGGACAATGGCCTTAAAAACCCCATCGTTGAAGTCTGCCATCCGAGATTTCGGTATAAAAAATTCAACCATGGACGTGGAACGACCCATAATCCTTTTGACCTAAGATACAGCTCTTCGTTGTGTACCCTATTCAAGAACTCTACGTATTCGACATCTTTTTCGAACAGAAATCCAGGGTAGTAACTCAAGCCTTTAAGAAGCTGCTGCAGATCCTATGAAGAAGACATCGACAGACAGATTGATTATTATTATTACACCCACAGATGAATGTAAGAAAGATGAATGTGGTTTTTCACCTTGTCCACCGTGGCATTGGTTTGATCATCGTAATGCTTGACGATTTCGAGACTGTAAATAATGCCGAATTCGGATATGAAGGTGATTATTTTGGGTTGATCTTGGGGGTGAGAAAAAGCCATCTAAAGAACCTTGATTCATCAGAAGGGAGCCTTGTACATAATTCAGTGCTGTTGGGTCTTCCCTTTCGTTTTTGGAGATCAAAAGCTCTTGGTCTTTACTAAAAGCTGAGAAATCAGTGTACAACATCCGTATCCACTTAACCTGCCCATTTCACCAAAAACAAATGAGAACGAAGTCATGGATGAACACAATGACATGCGTATTTACCCGCTTTAGTGCTGGTTCAAGTGGGATTCTTGCTTTTGTTATTATTCCAAACTGGCCTAAACCTCCAAGAACAGCAAAAAAGTGATCGGAGTTGTTGTTTGGAGAGCAAGTCACAAAATCACCTTTCCCTGAATTTAAGAGACAAAAAATACCTCGTTCGTAAGCTAACCCTCTAAATGATTGCATGCATGCAAGCAAAGCAACACATGCATATAACTACGCAAAAAAAAAATCTAGTATATTTGAGTCACCTTAAACCCTAAATCTCAAGCACTAAAATATATAACCCTCAAACAAAAATAAGACATGTAACATCCACACAATCCACATGTGGATGTGATAATTATCAAACATATTAAAGCGACTATAATATTGTGTGAGTGAAGACGAGAGATACGTGAAAGATTTTTGATTTACCTGTTATAACGTCCATTTCAAAAACGTTGCTGATCTGAGGACCATAACGAAACGTTTGCCCGCTGATTCCAGCATTGGACAGCGTTCCGCCAACGGTTAGATACAAATAATCGGTCCAAGAAACAGGCGCCAATCCACTCTTCAGTGTCACGTCCAAAACCGAGGTCCACGTACTTCCCGTCAGGGGAGATAACAACTCCGCTTCGGTTCGGATTCGTGTTCATCGACGTCATGTTGACGACTACCCCGTTTTTCGCCATCGCTTGGCCACGTTCGGAGTGGGAAATCCCTCTGGCTGCTATGGTGAAGGTAGCCGCGCTATTGTAGTTGGATTGGATGAGAGAAGCGATGCAGGAAGGGAAGAGCACCGCCTGGGGAACGGATTTCACGATGAGACCAAAATCTTGAGAGGCGGATGCAATGGCGGCCGGATCATGGGAGAGTTCTGGTGCAACATCAAGGGATTGAAGAATCGATGAAAAATCATCATTGCTCTTTGATATTCCTACGCAAGCCACCCAGGGCCGGTCCTCACTATTTTTAGGCTCGAGACAAAATTTAAAAGAAATAGACCCCTAAAATAAAAAAAATTAAGAAATACCTAATATAAATATTTTGTTAGATTTTTTAAAATTAAAAAAATAATAATTTATTACAATATAAAAGATGTCAAAAAATATATTTAAGAATATAAATACTTATAAAAAATATTACATTTGAATATTTTATATCAAAACCATTGATGATAGTGTCAACATCAATGATTTCTAATATATTTTTATAAATACATAACATAACATTTGAAAATGAAAGAATGATCTTTTCTAGAATTTGAAAATATATAAAATTAAAAGAAAGAATTTGAAAACATGATCTATCTAAAAATTTAAGAACAATCTTCAATATTATTCAAGCACCATATTTGATAACAAACAATTGTGACTTTACGTGTGATACAAATATTATAAATTAAAAAAAATGAGAATAATAATTTCAAGATGAATCGTGAAACATGAAAGAGAAAAAAATCATACTAATTATACTTAAATTTTTCCTCTCATTAAGTTTTGAAAAAAAAATAATGTTAATAAATTTTTTCATTGATATGAAAATTCGGGAAAGAGGTTTGGTGGATTGATAGTGGGAATTTGGAAATACTAAAATTAAAGAGTTCAATTGATTTTTTTTTAATTTTGAGAAAGAAATATTAAATTAGAATTTTATGAAAGAATAGTTTATTAACGTTAATATAAAAATCAATAAAGATAGTTGACACCTTAATAATTCAAGGGGCCCATTATTTATTGGTAGTAAAATTATTTAGTACCTAAATTACCAGTTTTGATATGTTTTAATACCTAAACTTTTAATTTTTTTCAAAATCATACGTAAAGTTTAGTTTTTGTTTCATTTTAGTATCCGCTGTTAAAAACTTTAGTTTTTTTATTTCATTTTAGTATCCATTCAAAATTTAACATTAGTTTTATTTTTATTTTTTGAAATTTTAGGTACTAAAACAAACCAAAACTGATAGTTATGTAATAAACGCGTTAAATTTTTAACGACGGCTACTAAAATAAAATTAAAACTAAAGATTAGATATGATTTTGAATTTTTTAAAAAAGAATTAGGTACTAAAACGGATCAAAACTGATAGTATAAATACTAAATGCATAGATTACTCTATTATATTTTACAAACTTTTAATTTATTATCAGAAAAAATAAAAAAAATATTATACTGAAAAAAAAAACATTTTATGGGCCCTGGGCGGGTGCCCCTCCTGCCCTGGCCCAGGGCCGGCCCTGAAGCCACCAAAAGGCTTAGAAGCATAATGACTGTGAGATATGATGGGGCAGCGGCAGCCATTTTTGCTTTTCGATGAATCAAAAACAAGTAAAAAAATGACAAGGAAAGGCAGAAAATCTATATTTCTGCCGAAAGGAGTTTGTGTGTGTATATATTTGGGGGGGGGGGGGGGAAGTGTTGCATGAAAACGATGGTTGGTGAAGATAAACAAGTTAGATTTATGGCTTAATTTTGGATTCAGTCCCCGTACGCTTTGGTTTTTTGCAATTTAACCTCTTCTTTTAATTGAAGGAATGCAGTCCTCATTATATTTGTTTATCTAAAAATCAAAGTACATTTAATCTCTTCTTTTAATTCAAGGGATGATATTAGGAATGCACATGTACATGTTAATCAAAGGGATGACCCAGGTGGTAAGGATAAATGCTGGTCTTTGCTATTTTATATGCTTTTGAGGTCTTAATGTTAAGCTTGGTTGTTTTGTCGAGTTTATCTCGTGGTTATTTATTGTATATGTTAACACGGATACTCTTTTCTCTCAAGTAGGTTTAGAGGAGTTTTTAACGAGACCTACGGTAGTACTCCCTACTTATAAAAAAGTACATTTTATAACAGTGTTGATGCAATTCTATTAAATTTAAACTTAAATCGAGATTAAATTTGAAAATCGAAAGAGTAGAGGATGTGAAACTCCCTACTTATAAAAAAGTACATTTTATAACAGTGTTGATGCAATTCTATTAAATTTAAACTTAAATCGAGATTAAATTTGAAAATCGAAAGAGTAGAGGATGTGAAACCTAAATTTATTGGAAAGGTTTTTGGGAACAAATTCAATATATAATCCAGATAATAATACATTAATGTTTAATAACATACCAAATAAATTTTATAACCCAAATTCAACTCTTATCTTTTCTTTTATCACTAAATGTCTAAATCATGTTATATTAATTAAAAAATATCTTGAATTATTGTTTTCCATATTTGAAAAGAAATTATTAGGTAATCCTAAATAATACTATATTTTGAAAAAGAATCAATAAATGCACGAATAAAGTGAACTCGGTGATAAATGAATTGTTATTATTCCTTGCTATTCCAAGTTCGAGCACCAAAAGTGCTATGAGATTGAGTATTCAATATCAAATGACTAAGAGTTATTTTTAAACATATACTACCTTTTAGTTATATCAGATTAATCAAAAAAATTAATTACAAAAACCTCCAGAATTAATGTTTTTCAATATTTTGAAAAGAAATGATTAACCCTAAATCATGCTATATTACTTACTAAAATCTCTTGAACTAATGTTCTTCCGTATTTTGAAAAGAGAAAAATTGTAACCAACAAAAAATTAGGCTAATCATACGAGTTATTAGTTTTTTTTTTTTTGAAAGTTAAGTAAAGGATTTGAGTCATGATTTCATGAATGGAGTAAATTAAATCAGACCTAAATTTGGACTAAAATTTTGAGATACATCTGATTTGACCCAAATACTTTCTATCTTAAACATGACACGTCTCAATCCAATCTCACCCTTTATAATATCCAATTTAATCTAAGCTCAAATTTTTAAAATTAAAAAACATTTATAAGATTGAATCAAGATTAAAAACCGTCATAAAATGAAAATGACTGTATGGGGATTTGTACAAAATTATGTTCCTTACTTTACATAATTTACAAATCAAGCGAGTCCAATAATCATGCTATATGCCCTAGGAGTAACACGCCTGTGGAAACTCCTGCCCAGTGGATTATAACGACTCTAACTTGTGAGACTGGCTGGCTTACTATCTGTTTGAGTTCTATGAAATCTGCAAAATGCAAATTAATTGTTATAATTACTGTTTTAAGGTTATGAGTCATCAATATCTAACATTTTAGTATTATTAATTTTATGTTCCAAAAATTATAGAAAAAAAAATTAAAGTTAGCACCTAGCTATTGCTATTGAAAATACTTTGTCCAGGAGATAACAAAAATTTTGGATCAAACTGCTGTTTTCTCTGCTGAAAAGCATTCCATTTCGAGCCAAAATGAGTAATCCAATCTTCTTTAGTTGTATAATGAGGAAGATACTGCTTAACCTCAATACCAGCCTTTTCACAAAATCGCAAAACTGCCTTGTTTTGATCATCAAAAGCTTGCCAATTATCGAACCCACTTGCAAGCAAAAACCCTACTGTATAGAAAATTTCTTCATCTGGTATAGAAGCTGACATCCTATCATCCCACCTGAAATTCAGAGCATATATATAAGCACCCGAGAGACGAATGTGTATACTCAAATTTTGGTTTGAAACACTTACTTATTTCTGTTCATGGGGTAAACAAGGAGAGGGCCAATGGTAATCTTTCTTTGAAGGACAATGCCTTTAAAAACACCATGGTTGAAGTCTGTCATCCGAGATTTGGGTATAAAAAGATTCAACCATGGATGTGGAACGTCCCATAATCCTTTTGATCTCAGCTTCAGCTCTTCACTTCGTACCCTATTCAAGAACTCTACGTATGAGACACCTTTTTCGAACAGAAATCCAGGCAGGTACGTCAAGCCTTGAAGCTGCTGCTGCAGATCCTATGGAAAAACAAAAACAAAAACATAGACAGATTGGTTATCATTACATCATTCTATGTAATCTTTTATGTAAGGAAGATGAATGTGGTTTTACCTTGTCCACAGTGGCATTGGTTTGATCATCGTAATAATACTTGACGATTTCGAGACTGTAAACGATGCCGTATTTGGTTATCAAGGCGATTATTTTGGGTTGATCTTGGGGTGGGAAAAAGGTGGATCTGAAGTTTTCTAAAGAGCCTTGATTCAACAGAAGCGAGCCTTCTACATAATTCAGTGCGTTCTTGTCTGCCCTTTCGTTTTTGGAGATCAAGAGCTCTTGGTCTCTACTAAAAGCTGTGAAATCACTGTAAAACATCCGTATCCACTTAACCTGTTTCACCAAAAACAAATGAGGATGAAGTCATGGTATGGATGAACACAATGACATGCATGCTTGCTTGTATGCGTATTTACCCGTTTTGGTGCTGTTTCAAGTGGGATTCTTGCTCTTGTTATTATTCCGAACTGGCCTAAACCTCCAAGAACAGCAAAAAAGAGATCGGAGTTGTTGTTTGGAGAGCAAGTCACAAAATCACCTTTCCCTGAATTTAAAAGACAATTAACCTCGTTCGTAAATTAACCCTCTAAATGATTGCATATAAGCAAGCAAAACAACACGAATACATAATTATCCCAAAAAAATCTAACATATTTAAATCATCCCGAACTATAAACCCTAAATCTAAATACTAAAACATATATAATATGAATACAACCTACCTATGAAATATTTTTTTCACTTTCAGTGTATGTGACACCAAAATAGTATTAGAGGACTTAGATATGATCAAATGATACTCACCCTTAATCTAGAATTTAAACTTAGACATACTCTCCATGGCTAAAAGTAAATTAAAGAAAGAAAAAGCTTTTGACTCTCTGAAATAGGGTTTGATTAAATGTACTTAGAAAATCTCTGACATGTGTAGTTAAAGAATCAAACCTATTAAAACTTATCAAGCATGTAAGTGATTAAGGGGAGTATTGTTATACCTAAAGATTCAGAGTTTGAGAAGCTGAATTTGCATTGTGTGTGCATTGTTAACGTCTAAGAAAAATTATAAATAGATACTATCTTCTAATCACCCCAGATTATGTATTTCGAATTTTGATTACCTGTTATAACGTCCATTTCATAAACGTTGCTGATCTGAGGACCATAACGAAACGTTTGCCCACTGATTCCAGCATTGGACAGCGTTCCGCCAACGGTTAGATACAAATAATCGGTCCAAGAAACAGGCGACAATCCACTCCTCAGCGTCACGTTCAACACATCGATCCAAAGCTGTTGGCCGCCGACGTCCGCGTACTTCCCGTCGTTGGAAATACGGATTCCGATTTTGTTTGGATTCTTGTTCAACCACGTCATGTCAACGACGACGCCGTTCTTCGCCATGGCTTGGCCGCGGACGGAGTGGGAATTCCCTCTGGCGGCTACGGTGAAGGGAGCCGAACTATTGTAGTTGGATTTGAGGAGAGAAGCGATGTCTTGCGGCGAGGAAGGGAAGAGAACCGCCTGGGGAACGGATTTCACAATGAGTCCAAAATCTTGAGAGGAGGATGCAATGGCGGACGGACCACGGGAGAGTTTTGATCCAATATCAAGGTCTTCGAGATTCGATGAAAGAACATCATCGTTCTTTGGTATTCCTATGAAAGCCATCAAACGGCTTAGAAGCATTATGACTGTGAAATATGATGGAAAAGCAGCAACCATTTTTGCTCTTTGGTGAATCAAAAGCAGTGAAAAAAAAATAACAAAGATCGGCAGAGAATCTATTTTTCTGTTGAAAGGAGAGAGAGGGTGTGTGTTTATATAGAAGGGGGAAACTGCTGCATGGAAACGATGAAGGTTGGTAAAGATGAAATCGGAGTTATATCTCTGGTGGCTATAAACAAGTTAAATTTATGGTTTAATTCTTGACTCAGTCCCCGTATACGCTTCGGTTTTTGGAAATTTAATCTCTCTTATTTAGTTCAAGGAATCCAGTCCTCATATATGTCTATTTAAAAATCCAATATATAACATTGTTAATATAATTTAATTCTGACAAAAAAAAACCTTTTTCTCTATCCCAGTGAACTAAAGCCAAAGATTAAATTAAAAAAATCTAACAAATTCAATAAATAATCCAGCTAATAATACATTAATGTTAAGGGTAAATTATACATTTAATACATAAACTATCACTTTTAGTCTTTAGTATTTAACTTTCATTTTTTTTAAAACTATACCTGACGTTTAATTTTTGTTTCATTTTAATACTCAACCATTGATAACTTTAGTTTTTGTTTCATTTTACTATTCCGTTCGAAATTTAACATTAAGTTTAAAAAAAATTAAAATTTAAGTACTAAAACATATATCATATAGGCGCCACCACATGTTTTTCCCCTATTCATTCTCTGTGGTGGCTAGGCTGTTTAATGGGGGCATGGGGCCCAAATCATATATTTTCAACCCTCCGATCATGATCGTGTGGTACATATTGGTCAACCTCTTTCCGGCTTTAGGATGCAAATTGCAAAGCATGCTTGGTCAAAGTTTAGTAATCATCAAAACAATTCGTTTTAGATTTGATTTATTTGTTTCGGGAATAAATTTATGGATCAAAGGGGCACTTTCCTTCACTTTTGAAATAAATAACTAACCCTGCTATATTAATTACGTTTATATATTGAATATCCATTGAAATATCATATTTTGGAAATAAATAATTTAGTAACCCTATATCATGTTATATTAATTACAAATATATATTGAATTAATGTTCTTCCAAACTTTTAAAATAAATAATTAACCCTGCTATATTAGTTACATTTATCTCTTGAATTGGTGTTCTTCTATATTTTGGAAAGAAATAATGATGTCTATTGATTATATTTATGTATGTATTTTGGAACTATATATTTTATTATATTTATGAACGTTTAATGTTAAATGATTGAAAATCTTTAAATATATATTACTTTACATTCACTATAGATTAATAAATTTTTTTAAAGAAAATCATGTGCCTTAAAAATATTTGGTGGATTTTTATGCAAATAAAAGAAAAAAAAAAAATTAAAATCAATAATTAGTTGATCTAATGATACGAGGCTTTAGATCTCTTGAGCAACATCAAGGGATTTAATCTTTAATTTATGAATGAAGGAAATTGGGATGGTTTGGATTTTCTGCAAAACAACCTAAAATTCGACTTAAATTTTATGATAAAAACTCAAATCCAACCAGACCCAGACGAGTTTTTGACGCGGTTAGCAAGAAATTTGTTTATGAAACAAAACATATTTTTAAAGGTCTTTTGTTATGTGCAAATTGTGTGATCTTATTTGGAGTATAGCAAGCAAGATGTTGTGGATTTGATTGTCATCATTTGGTGGGAGTTTCCATTGAATTGTTTAGTGGTTGTTGGTCTTTTGAGTTTCTACGTAGGTGGGGCTGCCTAAGAGGAAGAGGCGTGCTGTGGGGGAGTTCTTAACCCAGAAACTCGGGCTGTTTTTCTGTGTTGGAGACATGCATCGTGCTTAGGGGGTTTTGTTCGCGGGGGAGTGGTCGTTTTTGCTAGGATGCTTTGTGACTCGGCTCAAGGTTTTTTGCAAGTCATAAATAGTTACAACTGTCGTGTTACAGTTGTCAGTCTTCTCGATGGACAACCCTAAAAAATTCATCAAATTCAAATTAAATTATTACCCAACAAAGCTCCATAATATAGCTCTATAACATCCTATCCATATTAATTAATATAAAAACCGGACTAACAATATGCATATATGTAAATAAAGTATTTAATGCGTGCAAGAAATGGGAAAAATAATTAAATAATTAGGTTCTAGATTCGGCTGGAATTGAAGAATCGGTAATTAACAAAAGCATGCATGGATTCAAAGGGTAATCTTTGACCTAAAGATCATACCACTACACGACCAAGCCAAAATCAGACCCGAATAGTCAACATTCAAATATGAATTCTATCAATATTTTATTATTACGCATCGGTCTAATTCTAATTTTAATCCATAGATTACATTGTTAATCGAGATTTAACCATTTTATTTTGATTTGACATAACTTAGTCCTTTTATTCTTATAGTGTTATTAGGTTTAATTTAATAACCATAAATTGTTATCATGTAAAGTGATGCCATAAATTTATTTTTGTTTTCCTCTCTGGATCGGTATACGTATGAATTCAATAAATCATATTAGGAACCAAATTGAAAGATCAATATATAAGTAAAAAAAAAAGGCTGGTTCCAATGGGAAGTACTTGGAAGTCCAGAAGGGAGCCAAACCTTTTTTCGATCTTTGTTAGCAATGTTAGTAAAAGGATTCAGGTCCAAACTCTTAAGGATGCGTTCCGGGAGTATGGTGATGTTCAAGATGTTTTCATTGCTTATAACAACAGGAAAAGGTTAGATGCGAGTTCCACCTTTGCGTTTGTTAGATACAGTAAGAAATCGGAAGCAAATATTACAGTGCTTAAAGCTGATGGGAGGATTTTGGATGGCTTCAAGATTAGGGTTTTCCATGACAAAGTGGCTGATAGTTATTATCAGAGAGGGGGTCTAGTTAATTTTGTCAAGAAAGTTTGGAAACCAGCCATTAGAGACGTAAGATCATTCAAAGAAGTGTTGGGAGGGAAGAAGTTGCCTGTTGGAGATAGTTATGGATCAGAAGTGATTAAACAGCCTGGGAGAGTAGGTTCTTCTCAGGGGGTGATTCATGTTAGTGTAGCAGATGGGAAAATGTTGAATGGTTATTCTAAGGTTGCTGGAGAGAGTGCAAATATTATCATTCCTAAACAAGATTTATTGTGGGTAGGCTATAGTATGGTTGGGAAAATTAAGAATAACTACAATGTTGATATTGTCCAAACAACGTTTAGAGCTGAAGGGTTTGAGGTGAAAGTAAGTCCTTGGCATGAATTACTGGTTATCATTCAATTCAAAAGTGGAAGAGATCGTCAGTCGTGTTGGTTGCGCCGAGAAGATTGGATTTGCCATTGGTTTGATGACCTAGAATTACTGGAAGGGTTCGAGAATAAAGTCAGTTTTAAAGTATGGGTGCTATTAAAGGATGTGCCTGTGTCGATCTTGAGTGTAAAATTGTTTAAGGATTTAGGTAGTTCATGGGGGAAAGTTCTTAAGGTAGATGATGAAACCAGAAACAAGGAGAGATTTGATATTGCAAAGCTTCTGTTGGAAGTTCATTCTGAGTCCTCTATTCCAGAGAAAGTATCCATCATATTAAATGGAAGGATTTTCAAAATCAGCATCCGTACTGAGTCCCATGAGGGCTTTCGTACTTTTATAGATGGGTCAATGGCGGGGGGAACCAAGTGGTTTCCAGCTTTGGAACATGAGGCGGTTGATCAGGCTTTCGTAGAAGAGAACGTTGCAGAGGCTGAGTTAGCGAAAAGTTGGCAGCTGATGGAACATGTTGAATCTGCTAGTCAGAGAGTTGATAAGGATGATGGTGTGTTGGTTAGAGAATCGAGCCAAGTGGGAGCTGTTGAGGTTAATCTGTGGATCTAGCTGTAAATATTGGGGATTCAGAAGTGAGATTGCACGACATTCCTATCATGGCCAATATTGGGCATGTTTTTCAGCCTGTAGATGAGAGCTTTGGGCTCTTGGAAATTAATAGAGATCTATCACAAAGTTGGGAAAACCAATCCATTTCTCATGGTTCTAGGCTTCAGGACGTGCTAATTAAGGAAGTTTTATCCTTAAATCTTGTGGATGAAGCTCGGATGGTTGTTTCTACAGTGGGTAAGACGGGTCTTTCTAATTCTCAGAACCTAGCAGAGGGTTTTTCCTCTCCGAATATGTCCCGAATTCCAAAGTCGGATGTTTCAAATCGAAGGAAGAAATTATTAAAAAATGGATTGCAAGAAGAGCGGAAGAGTTCATCTCGGTCGAAAGTTAAGGGTGATAAGAATAGGGTCCCTCGGGGAGAGAATTGGTGCATAGAAAATTAAGCGGACTTGACGATGACAGTTGGTGAGGCACTGGGAGTGGAATTCTCAGGTTCGAGAGAAGCTGCGATTATTAGGTTGGAAGCTATCGAGAGGAGGGATAAGTCTTGAATCCTTTTTGTTATCTGGTGTATCCTTCTTGGTGTGTGTTCTCATTTATATGGAAGAGTCTTGTAATAAAAAAATTTGTGATTAGTGGTCTCTTAGAAAGAAGATTGATAGATAAGAATGCTAGGAATATGTTGTGTTCGCCTGCTGAAGGCGCTTCTGGTGGTCTAATTTTGTTGAGGGACTCGAATATGTTTGATATGAGAGATCAAGTTGTGCTCAGGAGAATTTTAGCTATAAAGGGTAGTTTAGTTAGGTCCAACTTGGATATAGGTTTGGTTAATGTTTATGGTCCGAACGTGCCAGGGGAGAGGAAAGATTTTTTTGAGATTTTGAATGCGGTGATTACTGACTTGAATTCCTCGGTTTATATGGGTGGCGATTTTAATGTTGTCCGATCAGATGATGAAAGAGTAGGGGTTTGTTATCATCTAGGAGGTATGAATATGTTTGAGGATTTTATCTCTACTTGGGATCTTGTTGAAATTCCAAACGTGGGTAGTCAGTTTACTTGGTTCAGGGGTGGTATGAATGTGGCAACAAGTAGGCTAGACAAGTTCTTGGTCTCTGCTAAAATTGTTAGTTTGTTCCCTCTTCTTACACAAACCACCTTACCTAGAAGTTT